AATCTTTTGATTTTTTTTTCTTCGTTTCCTTGGTTCACATATGCTTTTTTCCATTGATGATAGAATAAATGTTGTTCCTATGTAATAAATCTCAAATGGATGATAATGATGATGATAAAAAAACGATGGAATACAAAAACAGAGGAGAAGATAGATGATGAGCATGGAAAAAATCTGAATATATGAAAAAAAAACGAAATGAACATTCTCATCATCATCATCAGCAATGGAAACTTGATTTGCAATGTTCCGTTTCTTTCTTTTTTTTTGTAATCAACTTTTGCTTGCAATGCTTGAATACTAATAAGATCTATATGAATCTAGTCTCCGGATGAAAAGAAAGAAGCAAAGAAAAAATCTTTCTTTTTTCCCCCTTACACCCGAAATGAAGAAATGTAGAGAGAGAAAATGTTAAGAATTGTTTTGAAGATTGGAAATTCTTCAAGATGTCGTTATCAATTCATGCTGATCATCATCATCATCATCATCATCATTAACACTGGAGACAAAAGAGAGAGAGAGTACAACGAAAAAAATTTCACTACAACAAATTTGATATTTATAGATCAGATAATCTTTTGTACAAAATGTGTGTACACTATAAATTTCAAAATAATCATTTCAAGATATTTTTTTTGTTATATATCTAGAAACTAGATAAAAAAAGAATTCCTTAATGGTTATACAATCGGTTTCCATTATTAGATTATGAGAATGAAAACAAAGAAGACTCAGACTTGATTTGAATTGAGAAGAAAAAAGATAATGTTTTTCTTTCAAAAAACGATGGGATCTTCTTGACGATAACCTATCTTGTGTAAGTTATGAAAATTTGTATTCTGCAACTAATAATAATAAATAAATAACCGTAAAATCAATTAGGCAAATATTATAAAAGACATGTCACACAAGACTGTATGTTTGAGACATTTTAGTATCAATTTCATTTTTTGTTTTGTTTTGTTTCTTGAGTGCCGATAAAGAGATTGTGAGAGATTGAAGAAGAAGAAGAAGAAGAAGAAAACAGAAACATAAACGTCATCATATTTATGATGATATAAACAACACCAGAAGCTTATTGATATAATAGCCATATTTGTTTGTCTGTTTGTTTGTTTGTTTTTGTTTTTTTTTCTCTTTTTTTGGCTATTATTGTCATTATAATATTAAGCTAAAATGATTATTATTACCAATTTATAAGACATTCAACAAACAGAGAGACAAAAAATATATATTTATGGCTTTGATTATGACAGAATAATATTATTGCGCATCATTTTCATCATCAACATTATCCCTATCAGTTTTTTTTCGCTTTCAATATCATCATATTGTTAATAAATGATCAGCCATGAAGAAAATGTCCAATTTTTTTCCAATGTCAAAAATATTCTTTCATTTGAATCGATTTTTCTTTTTTTTTCTTGGTTGAGATTTAGCTTTATTCAATAAGCTCATTTAATTGTCATCATAATTTTGTTTGTTTGTTTTTTTTTGTTTCTCTCGATTCGTTTCGCATGAAATTGATTGATTTTTAAATGAATTTCTAGTTCTCATTTTTTTTGTGAAATTTTCTTTTCTGAAATGTTTGTTTTGCGAATCTTTTCTTCTTGGTGGAAGGATTATTTAAACCTTTTTTTTTGAAATTTGATGTCCAGAAAAAAAGCAAATCCGATTCATTGATTGAAAATTTATTTTCAAATTCTTTATTTAAGTGGAACATCTTTATTCTTTTGGCCAATCAAAGTGAAATAATTGTCATCAAATGAATTTTTCTTTCAAGCTTTAATTTCTCTATAGGATGAAGTCAATACAAGTTTACTTACATTGTTGAAAAATAAATAAATCAAATGCTTAAAAGTAAATTAAATTTCTTTTTTTGCTTGCTTCCGTCAATCCGTTTCAACATTTTGGCCAAAATCAGTTTACTGAATTTTGTTTGAATAGAAAATAGAATCAAAATTGACTGCTGTTTTTTTTGGCCAAATCTTAAACTTTTTTTTTCTTCACAATTCAATACGATAAATTGAATTTTATTGAATTTTGTTTCAAATATTGTTTCACAAGAAAAAGCAATTTTGTTAATAAAATAGATTAGTTAGTTTTTAATTTTGTTTTGAAGTGAATATCAAAAAATTTTTACAAACAACATCAAACCAAAATGCAATGCAATGAAGTTAACATTTTAGTTGTCAAGTGAAAAAAAAATTAGATGAAAATAATACACTATCGAGGTAAATATTTCATATATTGATTATATCAACGAAATGATGTTTACAAAGTTTTTGTTATCATTAAATTCATGATAAAACTTTATTCATATTTTGTATGTAATTGATTGATTGATTTTTGATTGAACAAAAATCTTTTTTCCTCATTTTTTCTTTCATTGAATAATTTTCAAATCTGTCAATCAAAAGAAGACAAAATTTTCTTTAATCACAATCTCTGAATCCATGAAACATGAAATCAGGAATTTTTCATTCTAAACACTAATGCTTTTCATATTAATCGAATTTAATAACAAAAAAAAACAAAAAAAAAACAATGACTACAAATAACAAATTATAAAGATGATGATCGCGTTGCATAATAATAAAAATTTCGTAGCATCCATTAGTAATCATGATGATGGTGGTGGTCATATCAATGATAATGGTAAGGTCCCTGATGATTTTCATTTTTTTTTCTTTCTGCAGAAATCATCTGAAATTCAAATCGTCGGTATCCAGTTAAAGATGAGGGAAAAAAATTCTAAACAATAGCCAATAAAGTAAAAAATGAAAATGAAAATTCTAATGGAATAATTTTTCGATTCATATTGTCCAAAATATTTCCAAAGAACAAAAAAAAATGTGATTGATTCCAAATGTCTCAAGAGAAATTACTGGATAATAATAATAATGAATGATAATGATAGTCGAATCGAATCCAACGGTTTCTGAATTCTGTTTTTTTTTCGAATAATGGATAGTTTTTCTGTTCATTCCAGTGCTGAAAAAAATAAAGTTTAATCAAATTCATTTTTTTTCTGTCATTTATTTTGAAAAAAAATCAATAATTAATCAATTATTATCTATCATCTGTATGTTCAATTCAATCAGGTCAATCAATTCCTTGTTTTTTCTTCATTCAACTTCTTCTGTATTCCAAACAAACAAACAAAACAAAAAATTCAACAACAAATAAATCAATCTTGTCTTCATAATAGTTTTTTTTTGTTCTGTCTACCCATAAACATTCATTGTTTATTAACAAAACTGGTTTGTTTGTTTGTTTGTTTGAAAAGCAAAATAATGAAAATGAAAATGAAAAATAATATTTATGAAACAACAACGAAGAAGAAGAAAACCTCATAGAATAATGATGGACCATAAATAATCTGATCATGTTGACGTTGTTGTTGTTGTTTTTGCTATTCATTTTCATAAATAGAAATTTTTTTTTTTTTTGATATATTGACTGTAAATATACACGAATAAGCTAATAGTGTTGTTGTATTTAGGTTCATTCAATTTTTGATTCTTTCATGTTATACACACTTATTCACTTTTTTTTGAAACATCATATGATTTAACCAAAAAAAAGGCTGCTGCTGTTTGTATGTATTTCATTTTTCAAAAACAAAAATATTAGCCCTTGTTATTTATGTGAATCAAAGAAAAAAGGAATTCATTTTTCAATCTAGATATACATTCGATAATGATGACAACAACGACCAGGACCAGGACGACAACTTTATGAAGGATTGAAAAAAACCAAGATAAAAAAGTGTTAATGATGTTTTTTTTTTGCGCTCAATGATAATAAGGGTGATGACTACCGCATCAATCATTGATTTTTTCTTTCATTTTCTTGGTTTTCCGATGAATATATTTATTACATTTGGTGAATAGGGAGAATAAATTTCCTAATTAATCAAATGAATAATGAATATTTTTCTTTCTTTTTTGGATGAATCTTGTTTACTTTCGACCCAAACAAATTTCCAAAATTGATAGTCAAAGGAATGAGGAAAAAAATAGTGTGCCAATGTTGATAAACAACAACAAAATTATCATTATCATTGACAGCTACTCTATATTGGAAATTTGCATATGATGAATATCGATTTAGTCATCGATATGAAATTTCATTTATCGGGGTTTCAACCAAAAAAAAACATTTGCATTATTCAGTATGTTGTGTCATTTTTTGTTTTAGAAAAAACAAAATCCAATCACTATTTAGTCAATTATGGTTTTTTTTGCAAACGAATACATATCATAAACAAACAAATATGGAAGCATATATCAAACTTCAGTAAATCAAAAATGGGAAATTTCTTCTTTCTTCTTATTTTCTTCAAATGAAATTAAATTTTATGATTAATTACATTTTCAATGTCAATGTGAAAGAAGAAGCAAGGGAAAACAAAATGAACAAGAATCGAGATATATTTTTGATTTTGGTGTATTCGATTTTCAATCATATCATTCTTATGCTATATATATGAAAGAGAGAGAGAAAGAGAAAAAAATTGGAAGCAATATTTCTTTTCATGTTTTGTTTTATTATCATACGGGGGGAAGTGGGGTGAAGAAAACAATTCTGCTGACTAATGTTATTTCCATATGTACACACACACACATTATCTGATTATGTTATTGTGGGTGGATTGTGTGTGTGTGTGTGTGTAAGTATTCGGACCATATATATCCACTTTTCAATGTTTCATTTTTACATCGGATTTTTTCCGTTCATTTTGCTTTGTTTCGTTTGAGAGAGAAAGAATTCATCCTTAACAAAATAAAACAAAATACATCGACAGCCGGCTATGTTGTGAAGCAAGTTCGGTTCGAATTTCGAACTATATTTTTTGATCAATAGTATATTTAATTTGTTCTTTATTTTAACCATTTATTCGCAGCACAACCTTTGAATAAACAACATTGTTTTACTCACAATCGATTTGTATGATTTGTATGATTTGAAACTGAAATTGTGTGTACTTCATTACATTTATTCAAAGAAGTATTGATGCGAATCAAAGATTTGATTTGAATTGTTTGAATATTGATTTGAATTTGATTAAAGAATTTTGATTTTGTTACGATTTGATTTATATCATTGAAGATTAAAAATGAAAGATATACCAGATGAATTGGCAAGTAGATTGAAATCTTGTAGAATGAATATCACATGCTTATCGTTCCGAAAATGGGATAAAGATCGTTCATCATTATTGAAAGATGAATTACATGAACTGCATGAACAATTGGTCCTTTTGCTTGAACCTGATGAAGAATTTCCTCCAGAATTATTGAACAAAATGATAGAATATTCTGATTTGATTGAAAATTATATGAAACGATTTGAGCCTAAGATTCAAGTCAATGATGTGGTTGTTCGTAACGTTAATAATAGTGACGGTAATGGTGGTGATGATGGTGATGTTGTTAATGAATTGGCTAGCTTATCGTTATCGAACAAAACAAAAATTCGATTAGAACAGTTGCCAACATTCGATGGTAAATTCGTAAATTGGAAACCATACAAAAGTATGATAGTAAACTTATTGATAAGCAACATGACTATTGATGAAGTGATGAAGAAATCTTTGCTATTGAAAACGTTGTCTAATGAACCTGCTCGTATAGTTGGAATTTTAATTGGCGAACTAAAAGGCTTATCGGAAATTTGGGTCAAACTGTGTGAAAAATATGATGACCACGAATTGGCCATTCTAGAAATTAAGAATGATTTAAATAAAATTCCTAGGATTGTCAATGAAAACCAAACCGATAATTTAAAAATGGCTAAGGATATTGTCGAAAATGCAAATTTGGCTGTGAAATTTTTAGAAACTGATTCTTCTTTTTATGTCACGAATTTGATACAAGCTGTTGCCTATAAGTTTTATTATCGGGCACAAAGAAAAATGCTATCTGAAATGTCGAATTTTGAAGATGTTGTAAAATATATTGATAAATTATATAAATCGGCATTGAAATATGATTATAACAAAATTGAAAAGTTCGATCAATCTACAAGAAATAAAGAAGAAACGAAAAAAGCTTTTGTTGCTGCTATTTCATCGAAATATTGTTTTATTTGTGGCAGTAACCATCAAAAAACTTATGAATGTTTTGGAAAATTTGATTCGAAAACCATTGCTGAAATGATCAAAGGCAAGGGTTTGTGTTTGATATGTCTGCATAGAGGCCATCTTAGCAGAAATTGTTCTTCGATTATTGATAAAAAATGTGAAAAGTGTGATAAGTTTCACGCTACTGAAATGCATGACGTATTGAATGAAATATATCAAACTAAACCGAAAGGAATCGCTGCATCGATTCCATCATCATCGGAATCGTCATCATCATCAGGATCATCGAATGGTGAATCTTCGGATAGTGGATCAGTAGCCGCTATCTCTTATCGAAGTTTGTCTAATGAATTTGATGCAATAAGAAATGGTAATCTTGAAAATCGTCCAATGATCTATGGAAAATGCAATGGAAAAGAAAGCGTTATATTGTTGGACAGTGGTTCTAATATTTCGTTGATTGATCCTGATTTGTTATTAGATGATCAGAATATTTCGGATAAAAACTATTCAATGTTAGCATCTTCGCCGTTGGGAGAAGACAAAACCAGTCACAAGAAAGTGGTTTTGAAGATTCGTGGCAATTCATACGAAATTTCTATTGATTTGTTCGCCATGAAAATGAATGAAAAGAATTTAATCATTATTGGAACTGATAACTTAGGTTTCTTTTATAAGAATCAACCAAAAGTTCTGTCAATTCCCACGATTTTTGGTGACATCAGTTACCAAGCACGAAAGGATTTTGCAGCTTGTAGCTCAACCGAAATGAATAATCCGGCTGCTCGTGAAAATGTATTCGATATTGTTGAATTTAAGGATGAACAATCATCTATGCCTAAAGAAGAGTTGTTGAAACCGGAATCAGGAAATGTTTTGAATATCGACAATGATAATTTGAACATCGATAGAGATGAAGATGATGATATTCGGATCAAGCTACGAATTGGTCAAGTTATTGGTCGTTTTGAAGCTCAATTATCGATTTTATCCGTTCAACGTCCGAAGGACAACTTCGAAAAAGTATCTGTCGCTGAATCAAGACTACTTGCTCCATATGAACTAGGCAATGTATTGAACCAAATGCACTTTGTTTTTTCTTCCCGTATTACAATGTGTTTTGACTCGATGTTTAATGTACAACGTTTTGGCTCGTCAACATCTATCAAGAATCTCGAGTTAGCTGATCGTGTTGTTGACTTGCAAAAATTGATTTCTATTGCTCGATTGTTTATTTTTGTGGATAAAAAGAAAATGATCTTCAGCGATAATGAAAATTCTAGCAAATTGGATAATCGAAAATTTGAATGGATATTTTTTCCACTTGGTGCTTTTGAAATTGCAAACGGACGACAACAACAACCGATGACTGACGACGTTGCTGTTTTGGAAACAAATGGAATTTGGCCGAATCGTTTGAAAGAATTTCGTTCTAAATTTAAAAAGTTTTGGCATCCTCATTGTTTGGCTTTTCTAAAACAGATTAATGAACCGAATTTTACTGATAACAAAACTGGTATTCATGGTTCAGTGTCTTCCGATCGTTTTATCAGACGTAATCTATGGCTTTTCGCATTAACAGATGACGAGTTTAAATTCCCTTTCCGCGCCGGGAGTGTTGTGAAACAAGTTCGGTTCGATTTTCGAACTATATTTTTTGATCAATAGTATATTATATTTGTTCTTAATTTTAACCGTTCATTCGCAGTACAACCTTTGAATAAACTACAGTGATTTACTTACAATCGATTTGTATGATTTGATTGATTTGAAACTGAAATTGTTTGCATTTCATTACATTTATTCAAAGAAGTATTGATCTTGTTTGCGAATCAAAGATTTGATTTGAATTGTTTTGAATATTGATTTGAATTTGATTAAAGAATTTTGATTTTGTTACGATTTGATTTATATCATTGAAGATTAAAAATGAAAGATATACCAGATGAATTGGCAAGTAGATTGAAATCTTGTAGAATGAATATCACATGCTTATCGTTCCGAAAATGGGATAAAGATCGTTCATCATTATTGAAAGATGAATTACATGAACTGCATGAACAATTGGTCCTTTTGCTTGAACCTGATGAAGAATTTCCTCCAGAATTATTGAACAAAATGATAGAATATTCTGATTTGATTGAAAATTATATGAAACGATTTGAGCCTAAGATTCAAGTCAATGATGTGGTTGTTCGTAACGTTAATAATAGTGACGGTAATGGTGGTGATGATGGTGGTGATGATGGTGATGTTGTTAATGAATTGGCTAGCTTATCGTTATCGAACAAAACAAAAATTCGATTAGAACAGTTGCCAACATTCGATGGTAAATTCGTAAATTGGAAACCATACAAAAGTATGATAGTAAACTTATTGATAAGCAACATGACTATTGATGAAGTGATGAAGAAATCTTTGCTATTGAAAACGTTGTCTAATGAACCTGCTCGTATAGTTGGAATTTTAATTGGCGAACTAAAAGGCTTATCGGAAATTTGGGTCAAACTGTGTGAAAAATATGATGACCACGAATTGGCCATTCTAGAAATTAAGAATGATTTAAATAAAATTCCTAGGATTGTCAATGAAAACCAAACCGATAATTTAAAAATGGCTAAGGATATTGTCGAAAATGCAAATTTGGCTGTGAAATTTTTAGAAACTGATTCTTCTTTTTATGTCACGAATTTGATACAAGCTGTTGCCTATAAGTTTTATTATCGGGCACAAAGAAAAATGCTATCTGAAATGTCGAATTTTGAAGATGTTGTAAAATATATTGATAAATTATATAAATCGGCATTGAAATATGATTATAACAAAATTGAAAAGTTCGATCAATCTACAAGAAATAAAGAAGAAACGAAAAAAGCTTTTGTTGCTGCTATTTCATCGAAATATTGTTTTATTTGTGGCAGTAACCATCAAAAAACTTATGAATGTTTTGGAAAATTTGATTCGAAAACCATTGCTGAAATGATCAAAGGCAAGGGTTTGTGTTTGATATGTCTGCATAGAGGCCATCTTAGCAGAAATTGTTCTTCGATTATTGATAAAAAATGTGAAAAGTGTGATAAGTTTCACGCTACTGAAATGCATGACGTATTGAATGAAATATATCNGCAGCACAACCTTTGAATAAACAACATTGTTTTACTCACAATCGATTTGTATGATTTGTATGATTTGAAACTGAAATTGTGTGTACTTCATTACACGGCTAATTTTGTAAATGGACCAGCTATCAAAAAAAAAAATTGACATAATCGAAACTAGCCTTCTCTTAACGCCCCAAATTGAATAGAGCAAAACAAACACTTCAAACAAAAAAACGATTTGAATGAGCCAAACTAAATATTAGATTAATAAATAATGAATTGTAAATGCTTTTCTTCTTTTTTTATTAGAGATGTGTGTTGTTTTTCATTGAGAAATTCTAACACACACACACACACCTATCTATAACTACCTGAATTTTATCATTAATTTGTTATTATCATCATCAAACATCATTGAATTGTTGAATTTGATCGTTCGTTCATTGCTTCTGTTTGTTTTTTTTTCACATTCCGGTTTTTATAACAAAAAATAATAATAATAATAATAATAATAAGAATTTCATATCGAATTCCTTAAATTTTCTTTTCACTTTATCTTCGTTTTTTTTTGGTGAAAAATAAGAATTTTCTTTCCTTTCGGATAAATCTTTCAATGATGATCGTGATCGTCTATTACAACAGCGTTATATTCTGTTATTATTATTATTATTATTATGATTACATGGAAAAGCTACTTAGTTTGGTGGATATAAGCAAACGCCCAAACGCATCTATAATTTAATGTGGAATGTGGAAATATACGAAAGAGAAAAAAAAACGAGAATTTAATTCAATTATGGTGAACATATTAAGGGAGAAAAAAAAAGTAAAAAAGAGACAAGTTTAAGCAAAAAAAAATGTTCTCATCTTGAATCTCGGAGGCAACGGTAAAGATTTGCAATTCATAATTTTCCTTTTTTTTCTTCCATCACCGATAAAATACGGCTACAGAATTTTGATTATTGAGAAAAAATTAAAATTCTTTACATAGGTTGTCTGATGCTTTTTTTTTCGCTTTTCTCATTCAATTTGACTGGACACAATATTTAAATCACTGTATTTTATTCATATAGTATTTTATGATTCATAGCGTACAAGGTATATTCAATTATTTATAAACTGGTTCCCTTGTTTATTATGATCATCATTCCATTATAATTCATTGCATTTCAAAAACAATAGGCCAACAATACAACAACAATGATAATCAATAATTTAGTTTCTGTTTTTCAATGGTCCCTGTTCAAATTCATTCTTTCTTTTATGTTTGTTTTTTATTATTATTATTGGCATTAAATCATTAATTTCAATTATCGTAAACAAATGAGAATAGAAAAAAATATATTCATAAATTAGCTATGTTAATATTTCTAACAATATCCATCACTATATATATCATTCACTTTCATTCATCAATACCAACACAAATTCTACTTGTTTTTCGAGATTTTTTTTTGTTGAAAATTCTTTATTAACCATAGTAAAATATGGAACTAGGGCTGCCATCTATTTTGTAATGTTAATTTTTTTTTCTTTAAAAACAGAATCAGAGAAAAAAAATTGGCTCGAAAACAACAATCGATTAGTTTGATTAAAAAAGATAAAATCTCAAAAATAAAAATAAAAAAAAACATAACATGATTTCATAAAATTATTTGAATGGAAATTCTGGATGTTCTCGTAAATTATTCATTTCCATTCGAACTCGTCGTCCCTTTTCGCCTTGATCCAATGAATCAAGAATTTTACAATCCTCATCACTGATCTCGAAATCGAATACATTAAAATTAATTTTGAGCCGTTCTGGATTTGTTGTTTTCGGTATGGCAATGATGCCACGCTGTATAAGCCATCGTATAGCAATCTGTGCTGTTGTATGGCTATATTTTGTAGCAATAGATTTGACAATTTCATCTTCTAATACACTTTTCTCACCGGCACGATTTCTAGACAATGGACAATAAGCTGTCAAAATGATTCCATGTTTTGCACAAATTTTTTGCAAATCAAATTGTGCTAAATAAAGATGGCATTCAACTTGATTTGTGACTGGATAAATCGAAATCGAAGATTTCATTAAACGTTCAACTTGTTCAGCATTAAAATTCGATATGCCAATCGATCTTGTCAATGCTTTACGTTGAACAGTTTCCAATTCTCGGTAAACATCAACGATGTTTCGATTACCAAAAATTAAACGATTTGTACCAGGTTCCAATGGCATCTTTTCCGTATCAGAATCACCAAGAACGAAAGGCCAATGAAGAAGAACAAGATCAAAATAATCTAAGCCTGATTCTTTGAGATTTTTTCGAACAGCAGCTTCAACACGACCTTCTCCATACCAAGTTGGCCAAACTTTGGTGACGATAAATAAATCTTCTCGTTTGACCTTACCATCAGCAATTGATTTTCTCACAGCTTCTCCTAATGGTACGAGATTCTGTTATTGAGAAACAAAAAATTGAATCAACATTAACTAAACAAGTTTTCTTTTGAATGATAAAAATTACATCATAATAATCGGCTGTGTCAAAATGACGATATCCAACATCGATAGCTTTAAAAATGATTTCTTTTAAATCATCACCGACAGCCGCATAGGTACCAAGACCAAGAATCGGAATTTTAACACTGCCTTTACATTCAATCGACCAAACTGGTGATGTAGCCATTATTTTGAATAACGATTGTCAATTGAAAAGGACAAAATAAAACAACCTTCAAATTAGTTGTAACAAATAAACAAGTGTTAATTATCAAATGATGATTAATGTATTTTATAATATCATTATCAAATGATATAAAACAATTTAGCAAAAAAAAAAAAAAACAAATTAATATCAATTCGATTTTCTCCCCCCTTGTTTTTAATATTTTTTGCATTTCACAGATGACGTAGCGGT